TCCCTTGACTTTCTGTGGCGGGACAGAGCAATGATTGTGTTCAAGGCTCAACATTTCTGAAATGTGATTTGCTTTGATATAACACAGAATTTTACGCTCACTGGTGTCACATAATTTGCCCTTTTCAAAACCTGCCTCACTGTCTACATAGACTACTGCCTTCTAAGGCAACATAACTGTCATGCCAACCTCATCTTCATCACAGTAATAGCAACTGAGCCTTTTAACTGATTTCAACAGAACCTACTGTAGCGTTAGCATGTCATGATACGACACGTAATATAAATACAGAGCCCAAACACAAACAGATATTTGGTAAAACAATGAAACTGAACTATTTTCTTTCTTTAGTAAAAGTTTATTTATAATCAACATTTCTCTCGTCTCAAGTGCCTGCACAAGGACAGAAACAGAGTTTAAAATCATGGCCAAAAACACGCTCTATGAAACTGAGCACCTATTAAATACAACAACAACTTTTATATCTTTCTAAAGGTATAATATTGCTTTATCTTGCGCCAGCTGGCATTATCCCTCTCATTTGCTCATCTGAGCCAAATTCATAATATGCACTGTTCCGGGCTCATCTGTAGTGCAATAGCTCGCTCAATTTAATGTTATTAACTAATGATGGCGATATTGCGTGAGCTCTCACCCTTTCCTGACACTGTCTGGACTGTCTATAAAAGTAAGTGTTTAAGAAGTGGCAGGCCGCATGATTTACCCAGGGGGCTGACATCCCACACCCTGACAGGAACCAAATGAGGACACAATCGCTTTTAATACACCATTCCTTTTCATTTTCTCCTTCTTAAGTCAGTCTCCTTCCTTTCTTTAACTCATCGATATAGTAACAGAGGAGCTGAACAGGCTGTGCTGTGCAGAGCAAAAAAATCTCGAACAATAGATCAGATGTGAGGGCTCCACGGGTACAGTTGTCCTATTTCCCCTGAGCGCTGATAAAACAGAGAAGATCTGGTGTGACTCAGCAGGAATGCAATCCTATAAGGACCTGATCCGAATTTCTGTCATTACTCAGATGCGTGCCAACTTATCAAAGCTACTCATTACTCCCTTGCTGAAGCAAGCTTCAGGTGGCAGATTTCACATTATGGTTGTGTAATTTATAGAGCTGTCAATCGATTATAATATTTATTCATGATTAATATTTTCTTTTTTCATACTTATTAACACATTCATTACACATTCTTAAGCACACTAATGTTCATAAATTTGGGGTAAGTGTATTTTTATTTCAAATAAATGCTATTCTATTGAACTTTCTATTCATTAAAGAAGCCTGAATTTTTAAACAAAAATACTAAGCAGCACAACCGTTTTCAACATTGATAATAAACCGAAATATTTGAGCACAAGATCACCATATTAGAATGATTTCTAAAGCATCATGTGACACCAAAGATTGGAGTAATGATGCTGAAAATTCACAGGAATAAAGTATATTTTAAAATAATCAAATAGAAAACATTAACGATATTTTACAATGATGTTGCTTTTTTGTAATGCATTTTGATCAAATAAATGCAGCCTTGGTGAGCACAAGAAACTTAAAAAAAAAAATCGTACTGACTTTTAAATGGTACTATGTGTGAGACACTGCAATTACAATCAGCTGTTAATGTTCTGATCAGTTTTTATAGAAATATAGAATGACATATAATAAAAACAACTGTAAAAATAAATAGAAAGACCATAGAATATAGCATATCAAATCATTTAAAATTCACCAAATGCCAAACCGAAAGAATGCCTTAACAGTGTTAAAAAAGGTAATAGTGTTAAAGACATTTAATTAACCATGCATGTTAATTTTGACAGCACTAGTAATTTTATTATGTCAATATACAGTAAAGAGGCTATAAACGGGGCAAAGGGACAGTAATGCAGACCCTATAGATTCATATTTGGCCATTAAACCACAGCCCACAGTTCACTTCACTTGTTCTATGACAATATAACCCATTACCAAACTGGCACCTTTTCTCACACCCTTGATGTTGGCTGTTCAGTGATTCTAAAATGATTCTGTGTAAGACAGGGAAACTCTGCTACTGTTCTAGAGCTCATCTCAACTGAAGACAGTAAATAGTAGGTTGCATTGTATTCAATTTCATCTTCAAGACCCATCATCCTCAGAACCCTATTGCCAACAACCAGATTAATAGCACTTTAAGACTACCATTAGATCAGGTCCAAATCTGAAAGGTTAAAAAAGAGATATGATACAATCTGATATTGCATTTTCTTCCTTGAGTTGAAAGCAATTGGGATATGAGGGGGTGAGATAAGAGAGCTTGAAAGCTGTATTGACTATGGAGTGATAAGGCCACGTGATAAAACTAGAAGAGTGACCGAAACATGCCAAAAAATCAAGTAAAACTGTTGGCGATCTTGTCAAAAGTGTCTTCACAGATATTAATGCAGGCATTTCAGAGGAGCACCTTTAAAATTTAGAAGGTGCTCTCTTTAATAATACCCACTATGCCCTTTGTGGGTCACTAAGCTTCGCTTAAACTTCTTGCACAGTGTTTTACTTTTCCCCTCCAATCTGTTCTGGTCTGTGCCTCCTATTTAACCCATTGAGCAATGTTTCCACCGTATTGATTTCTGCAATGAGAACATCAAGGGCACCTACTTCCAAAGACGCAAGGGAACTTGTGATTTTCCTGGTTGTAAGTCATTATTTGACACCGATACAGATTATACAATAGGAGATTCTATAATCATATATTACCTTCTGGTCATACCCATCATGGGAATCCAATCACATCTCTGTTCATTCTTCATTCAAATGCTGATATGAATCTTCTAAGCCTATGCACTGCTGCTAATCAACTGCCATCTTCAGGTTCAAGAGTAAAATATACAACCTAATCAAAACCATGGACCACAGAGCTTCACCTCCCGCTTCACGTCCACAGCAAGGGAATGTGGCTACATGCTTGGAAGGGGGAAGGGTATCTACTGGCAGCTAATCTTGGAACGTGATCTTATTTACTGCCATCTAATGTGCTATTGACCCCGCTGCCTATGAGGGAATAGTTCTATTCACAGGCTAATTAACCCCTTGATGTTGACCCGAGGATAATCAATGATGGGTGTGCATGATTGTGCCAATCACAGCATCTTCACTGCCAACAGCTTCATTTGAGCTGATGATTTCTGTCAGAAAAGTAAAGTCAGTAAAATCTGTTTTTAAGGTGTTGTTTGGAAAATATGGGGTAAGTAAGTATTGAGTGTGTTGCAAAATGGTTGTTTTAAATGATTTGGCGAGCCTCTTGAGGCGGAGCACACTCAGGTGAATTTAGGTTTTGGCCAAAGGCAGAGTAAGATTTGAGGAACACACTACAAGCAATCATGGACCACATATGGGTACATGATACAGCTAAATGTGGTTGTCAATCCTCTTTTGAGCACTTAATGCCATTCTTTACATACAGAGTGTGTTATATTGGAGAGTGACAACCACAGCTAAATCAATTTTCATTAAATACCCCTAGTGTTTACAGAACCAAGCTGAACAACTAGTTGCTAATGCATTAATGTCACTCTTTTGAGGACAATGACAGCTTGTCGGTTTGTGTCTCTTTTCTCGACAGGTGTGGTGCAAGCAAATCACAGGAAAACAGTTACAGCTGGTTTAAGATGGTCCTCAGCTGGTTATGAGCTGGTCCTGAGCAGGAGCTAGTTGCTTAGGACCAGCTTATAACCAACTCAGGACCAGCTTAAACCTGTTCATGACCAACTAAGGACCAGCTTAAACCAGCTGCCATGCTTCAAAACATATCTAACCAGCATATGCTGTTTTTTTTTTTCAACAGGGACATGGAATCAGGTCATGTTGCTGGCTATACTCAAACTTGTTTTATCCTCAACATGAGAAGCATTATTTCATTCTAACCACTGGCTCCAACATTAAGTGTGATTTTAAAATGGGATTCTATTGTGATTTCTAAACTCTACCCAGAAATTACAGTATATTGCATCTTATTGGCAAGTATGATTAAATAAAGGATTTGTGAAATGTAGCCTTATATGACATAATTGGCGTTAAGAACTTTGAGAAAACTGAGAAAACAAAATCACTGAAGAAGTGAGAAACACTGGGGTGCAGATCAGGTTTTAATAATCTCATTACAATCATAGGAGGCCATCTCTGCCTTTTCACATTTTTATCTCAAGATCCATGCTATGCTTGGCTTGCCAAGGTGCTGACCTTGTGCCAGCTAATACTCACCAGCTCTCTTCCCTTACCATGGCACATAACAGCAGCCAAATGCAAAGATTATCTCAGTACTAAAAAATAACTAAAATTAGAGCTGGGACACAGGGCTGTGTGACAAACATCACAAATATATTAAGGTCACAAACAGACATATGTCTACTGCTAAAAGCCATGGTTCAGCCATCTTTTAGCTTTTCCATTTAACAACCCTGACAGCTTTTCTTTTTGCAAAATGTATACATATACAAATAAACTGCTTCACTGCTAGGTTCAGAATAATGTCAGAAGTCTCAGAAGACAAGCTCAGGCCAATGGACTGGATGTTTGTAACCCACTAGAGGGTTGTGAACAAACACACTCTTCACTGAGGCCGGACAGATTGGACCGTTATCTGGGTGTAGGCAGGCTATAGAGAGAGAAACAGAGTCTGCCCAGGTGCCTTGGGACAGTGCTGACAGGACAAGATGGAGGAGAATATACAGCCCTGATAGCAGACAAGGATGTGCTTCTTTCATTGACTTTGGGATGTAAACATGTCCATGGAATCCAGGCTTATGAAATCAAGTGTTTAGGTTTAGCAAAAAACAATGCAAAGTCAGTTAAACACAACATTTTTGTAAAAAAAACTATTTAAATCAAGGTGATTCAGATCAACCTTGAGATAAAAGCGCCTTTGGTCAAACGATAAAAGTTATTTTGGTCTTGCAATAATACGAGTTTTTGACATGTGGCAGTGTGCGAGAAAGAATCTTACCCGGTCTTTCTTCTGTTTTTCGTCTTGATATATAAACCATCTCTCGCCGTTATTGCTGTAAGCCAGCTTGTAGGAGCCGACAAACTGAACGTGTCCAAAGTCTTTAGCCCCCTGGGTAATAACGCCTGTGATTTTTGTTGGCCGAAGCATGTCAACCTGAAAACAGAGAGAAAGAGTGAGAGAAAAAGAATGAGAAAGCTATTCTATCAGAAAGAGATTTTAGTGATTACTTGACTTCCCAAATAGCCTGAATCTTCCACTCTTATCTTCGGCAATAACTTCTTAAGATACTGTAAATTTGTTTGGAGGGTGTCATGAATTATTCACAGCAAAGTGGGCAATAAAAAGTAGCCTTTTATTTCAGCTCAGCAGAACAGTGATTGCTAGCCACAGCAATATGTGATAATTGCATTTGGTTAATATTTTATGCGGCTGTATTTACTGAGATTTTTTTTGTAGCATAGCTGCAAAAAAAGAAAAAAAAGGGTTCCACTTTATATTAAGTGGCCCTAATACCTGTGTACTTACATAGTAACTAGATGTGTACGTAGTATGTAACCACAGTGTAAGTACATTACACTACAGTGTAAGTAAAGTATTGGTATAGTATCTAGAGCTGCAATATTTCTGTAACTACACACATGTAACAACCCTCCGAATGGTTTGTGCAAGTACAAATGTGTAACAGGACATATATAACTTCATTTTGTAACAACAATATGTATAAAAGTAATTTGAACAATTTGATCCAGGGGGTGGATATGGGTAGGTTTAGGGGTGGAAATGGGATCCAGGGGGTGGAAATGGGTAGGTTTAGGGATATGTAAAGTGGGAGGAGTTGGATCTCAAGTTGGTGGAGTTGGTGCACCACTGTAATACCAGTGTACTTACATGGTAACTCCTCAGGAACTGTCCACCTAATATAAAGTGTAACATTCTGGACACCAACCACAATTTATATGTAAAGCCTAACTTACTGGCCACTGCTGTGTAACAGTAGTAATTACATGGTAAATCCATAGGAATTGTTTACTTAATATAATGTGTAACACTTTCTTTACCAAAAGTGCTGTTAGTCCTGTTACACATTTGTACTTTCATTACCAAAAAGTGTTGTTACCAATGTCCTGTTACACATTTGTATTTACACATACCATTCAGTGGGTTGTTACATACGTGTAGTTACACAAACATTACAGCTGTAGATACTATGTACCAATGTGTACTTACACTGTGGTTACATACTATGTACACATCTAGTTACTATGTAAGTACACAGGTATTAGGTCCATTTAATATAAAGTGGGACCAAAAAGAAAAAAAAAACTTTTATTTAGTTCTGTCAGGACCACTATCATCAAATATGATTGACAATTAGCATACAGTTTGGATTGGCCATATGGTTCTGTTCTGGGCAATAGCTCCCCGCCCATCCATGCAGCCTAGAATGGATAAGAGCAGGGAGAGCAGAGATGATCCCCTTAGGGTAAACAGAACAGAACCAACATAAATGTAGCAGATATCATTAATGATCTTAATGTAAATTTAATGTAACAACATAATTCAGGATAAAAGAGTCTGACTAAATGAGGAATATCGAATGCTAAGTCCTGAATGTGGCCGAAAGGAGGAGCTGGGGATGGAGAAGGGTAATTAGCTTCTGAGCAAAGCGATAAGCTGCTGAATAATACTGAATGAACCTTACAAAATAAGTAGGGATAGGCGTCATATTCCTATAGTTAGATGTGGATCAGCTGAGATTCAACTGATGCAAGCTTTATTGACGTGACCTGCCAGAACTGACGCTTGATTTGTGTTTTATGTAATTTGGTTTAAAAGGTAACCTAAATATGTACGTGTAACTCTTTATTTGCAATGCCATATTCAATTTTTGGCTGATGGTATATAAATACCTCCTTGTTATAAACTTGTAAGGTTATCTTTATACAGGGCTGCAGCAGACTAAATAAAGTTGGATGTTTTAGGTCATTATTATTGAATTGTGGTCACGAATGGTTTGAACTACACCACAAAACAAAAGGAGAAGGCAGCTCATTTGTACAGGGAGAAGTTCAGATAGTGTTTGTTAAGAAACAAAATCATTCATATAGACCCATTGCACTTAAGAGCTTCAATGCTAGAACAAATACACCAAACGCTCAAAAGTCATAAAGTTGCGGTTCACTGCTGTCAATAGTGTAGCATTGTATAAACAAAAAAATAACTTTTAAACCAAGCAGATTTCTTTTCGTCAACACGATGAATCCATGTGTGAGCTTGAACCGTTGCAAAATCAGCATGGGAAAATCATTAGCCCTCACGTGAAATTCCAGATTGTGTGGATTCCGCCATGAAAATTTGCAAAACAATGGTAAATGTGACCGAAGATTAAGGTCACATAAACACTGACCGACTCCATTTATAGCATTTTTCAACATACATATTGCAGTAATTTTTTTTACATGGAATTGCCTTACAAACCAGAACAAGCAAGGCAAAGCGTTAATGAAATGGAAAATCTCCATAAGATGGCATGATAGAAGAAGTAAAAACATTAGAAGGAACCTCCCTCCAAGCTTAGGGGTCTGTGTGCTGCTGCAAAGACTGTGGAATAACTTGAGAAACTATTTATTTTATTACTCTATAACAGAAACAACAATAAACCTTCACTCGACTTTTCTTTAATTACACTCAGTCAACACACACATCTATGGGGATAAGACCTGCTTTTAAGTATAGACTCATACTTTGTTCCCTAAATGTGGTAATGAAATGAGATAATTTCATCTAGACTCATAAAACTGTTTCTTACGTTTGTATATTACAACATATGTGACATTTCCAAGGTAATTGCAATGATAACAGGATGGAGAGTGAGTGGGCTGGAATGAATGGAAGTGCTTGACACACCTGCATGCCCTTGATTTCACACAGAAGCTTGAACCCAAAGCTAATCTCACTCAGACCAATGAATCAAGCCAGTCCGTCTGAACAAAGGAGGACCTTGACGTTGAGGCAGTAATTGCAGTTATGTGTAAACCTGAGGACACACTGTTTTTTCTTCAATGTCAGCGAATGAATTCAGGTGCGTTAGCTTGTGAACGGTTTTAAATTATATATAAATATATATATAACCTACACAGGAATTCCCAATAATGAATTGCACTCACTTATAGCACTGTTTATTTGCACATGCTGTCTGCATTGTTTTAATGCTCAATTCACTAAAGAAATTATGCAAATTAGGTAATGCCATAAATTCGCCCAAATCACCTAAATCGGCTTTTTAAAATGCCAAAAGTATGCTTGTCTACACCATGCAAGACATATACCTGGCTATAATGCTCTTCTCTATCATTTAGTGAGTCAATTCCACTGTTTCTGTGATTGGTAAACAGCCCAATGTTAATTGCACCAGCCAAATAGCACTGACTTTTTTAAGTAAGGCTCACTCTATAAGCCCAATTAACATAGAAAGGTGTGTTTGTGCTGAAAAGAATGACAATAACTAAAAGAGCAAAAAGTGCATGGTTAAAAAGCACAAGGTTATTGAATAAATGTGTTTTTGTGCTAAAATACCACTCTCAAAAGTGGTGCAAATGTTTATTGCATTCACCCCTGTGATTAACCTTCACACAGACAGTGGTTTTGTAGTCATTCAGGCAAGACTAAATTAAGTTTGCTTTTGGAAAAGTGCACCAAAAATGTGGCTGTTATTTATTTACAGTATTTTTCCTCAGGCAGATCTAGATTTAGGAAACACCTTCCACAGCCCTGATGTATTTTATTGTCCCTTCATTCTATTGCAACACCCGCAAGCAAACTTATTCATCTGGCACGTACAAGCTTTGCATAGAACAACACGCTTACAGAGAAATACAGCTTTTTGTGAAATGCTGGCACATTATAGAAATCAAATTAAACAGACTTCATACGGCCACGCCATTGATATATTAGGGTCTCTGTGGCTGGACTAAATTAGTTCTATACTGAAAACCCCTTTAATGTACAATTCCTTGAATACTCTGACCCACTTTCATGCCTACTGGAAAGGCACACATGGGGGTAAAGACATGAGGTATGTCTGCTTCACAAGAACACATAACATCCAATCAAACAGACAGCAGTCCTTGTACTGTGAACACAACACCTGAGATGTGCTCAGGTCATAGGTATAAGCAGTGGCGCAAAAACGGGGTATGCAGTATATGCAGTGCATAGCGGCGCCAAAATCATTCTGTGAAAATCTTCATTAATAAAACGTTATAAATAATCAAAAGCTTAGTTATTAAAAATAATTAATGCAACATTTTTATTTAAAGTTTTTTTTAGCATTTTAATGAGTTCAAAATTGTATTTATTAAAAACGTATTAAGACGCGGAATGGACGTATCTCTTTGCGACCACAACAAACAGGAGACTTTTCAGACGCGCACTTCAGCTTAACTGTGCATGCATATATGTGCATTACATTTAATAACATCTCTCAAATGCATGCAGCCTACTGAAATATTCTGCTATTCAAGATCAGAATAAGGCGCAAGATGATAGGCTATGCATTTTTTTATTTATAATTTAATGCACAAGTAGGCCAAATGTGAGCACAGTGCAGTTAAATGTACTAGAACATATGCACTGGTTTTTTCGTTAATTTGTAAAGTATGAAAATGAAAAGAAAATGAAACCATATTTAAATGCATAAAAAAACTTATTTACATTCTTACATTATTTTCCTTTGTACAGAGCTCGATTTAGGTATGACAAAAGTGCTGCAATGAATTCATTTGTACAACTAATAGAATGTTAAACACTGACTGATAACTTTTTCAGAGTTCATTGATTATATAAAATTCAGTGAAGGCTGACTATAGTTATCTGCATGTCTCATCCATGAGTGGGCCTATGCAGTGATGGAGAACAAGCAATGGTGCAATGGTGGAAACACATGTTTGTGAATGGGCATTTGATTTACATTTGAGAGAAACTAAGATTGTAAACAAGGAAACAAACTAGCCACTTTTCACTGAAAATTGCAGTTGTAAATTTAAAATAGGCCATCTGTGTAATTCAAGTAGATTCAATGAGTTGAAAACACTTGCTACTTCATTCAATACAAAACAATGCTGAACTTTGACAAAAAGTTAATAATGTTATAA